GACTAGTGTTGTCCGAAAGCTCTGGTTCTATTTCTGGCTGTTTACTTACGTTTACTTTTTAGCTGTTGCTTATCATTTTTGTATCTCTACTGAGATCCAGCCATTGTTTCCCACAGCATTGTTGTTTTCCAGTATTTTGCCTTTTTATCTATATATATATATATATATATAGCCTGGCATCATACCTCTAGACCACCGAGCTTGCGCCTGATGGCCAGGGTTGAATTCGAGTCCTAAGCAGCGGGTACGGCAGTGTTGATAGTAATTGTTATTGTCGTGATGGAATAATAGACAATAACTCGATTTGCGTCAGGAGAAACGTGTATAGGTGTAATTTTGTCCTACCTGACGTGGAAATGTACGGTACCGAATACTCAGTACATTTGAAAACAACTGCGAAAAAAAATCGCAAGTTGTTCTTGCGATTTATATAATTTTTATAATTTTTATATAAAATTTTATTTCATGTTTTTATTGTATTCAAATATTTTATAGAAATGAGTGCGTTATTATCCTAAGATACGCTTTAACAAAAAGAATGTAAGCTTAATAAAATAAAAGTGTGTAAGAACATAAAAACGAAAACCCAGAAAAATGGAGAAATATCAAATTGTCTTGATTATATGGAGATGTATAAAGGTGGTGGTGGTTACGCCACGAAAGAGAAAAAAAAATGAATAAATATATATATATTATCCATTAAATTGCACTACTTACATTCTTTGTCAATTTCATAGAGTTTCATCGAGCATGTGCTAAAGTCATCAATTTTACCATCCGGTGCTCTATAAATCACACCGATTATAATATTTTTTCCTATATGAGTTATATCTTCAACAAAAATTGATTCACAAAACTGATTGTTGATGGTTAAGTCAGTACGCAATATAACTTTAATGATTTTCTGATAAAGATACGAAGTCCACCTCCTATTCAATCAACGCTGTCACTTTTACTGTCATACAATGTACTAGCACACACTCTGGCTGTCATTTTGGGGATTTCGTTTATTTTAATTATGTTTCGGTTTCGGAAAAGGCCTGACAACAGATAAGTAGGCCTAGGAGATATTATTATTATTTATCAACGGTTCACCTCTTAAGGACTCAAAAAGTAAAGGGATATAACAAGAGGGGTATAAAAAGTCGAATGATAGGAAATATCCATCGCCGCAGTTTAAGACTACCTTCTTCACCCGTACACAAAATTTGTTTTGATTATAAATTAACCCCCTCGTTATGCTCAGGGGCCTGATTGTGTTTAGTGTTTTATACTGTCTCTATTGTCTTTTTTCATCCGGCCCCCACTTACCATCTTACTTTTAGCTGCCTTACTTTTGGCCATACTCTGTGTTTTATTACGGCTTTCGACAACCTTACGTTGTTGCCCAACTACATCGTGCGTAGAATTAACAGACAAACACTTTCGTCCAGATTGTTGTTTGGCTGAGAAGAATTAAATGAAACACGATACAGATATTTGAGGGTTTATTATTTTCATCACGTTTCTAATCGAAAAGAAAAGATTTAGTAAGTATTAACTTATAATGCATGATGCATTTTTAAATGTAAAACATCTTACTTAAAACTATGTAAAACATCTTACTTTTATATGCCTCACATTTCGAAAGCTGTGCAGTCTTGGGTTGTGTCCATACTCCCGTGTGCCCAACTACATCATGCGTAGAATTAACAGACAAACACTTTCGTCCAGATTGCTGTTTGGCTGAGAAGAATTAAATGAAACACGATACAGATATTTGAGGGTTTATTATTTTCATCACGTTTCTAATCGAAAAGAAAAGATTTAGTAAGTATTAACTTATATGCATGATGCATTTTTAAATGTAAAACATCTTACTTAAAACAATGTAAAACATCTTACTTTTATATGCCTCACATTTCGAAAGCTGTGCAGTCTTGGGTTGTGTCCATACTCCCGCGTTCGTGGATTTTATGGACGCTCCTCTTGCTTTAGATTGTGGTTTAGCTGAGAAATAAATTAAAAACGATATATTATTTTGTTAGATTACTAATAATTTAGGACTCTTGCTACTGCTGCTGCACTACTACGGCTGCTTCCACTACTGCTGCTGCTGCTACTGATACTACTACTACTACTACTACTACTACTACTACTACTACTACTACTACTATTATTACTACTACTACAGTACTACTACTACTACTACTACACTACTACTACTACTACTACTACTACTACTACTGGACTTGGCCTGTTGCTGCTACTCTGCTACTACTGTTTTTTTCCCCAACAATCTTGCTGTAATCAATTTTTCTTTTACCGAAATGAGTTTCCAAACCTTCTGAATTCCTTTCCCGATTTTAAAAATAATAATATCAACAATATGTTACATCTTACGTTTATCTGCCTCGACTTTTGAAATCTGTGCTTTGTTACAGGTTTTCACGGTATTGCATTGTGTCCCTACTCCCTCGTTTGTAGACTTTATGGACGCACCTCTAGCTTGAGATTGTGGTTTCGCTGAGGAAAAATAAATGAAAAAAGATATATTCGTTACGTTTCTTATAATGCTGCTGCCGCTGCTACTACACTACCAATCTCATTTCCCTTTGGAAGATTTGGTTTTTTTTTTTTTTTTCATTTTTCAATGCTTTAATCAAGTTTTCTTTTACTGAAGTGAGTTTCCAAACCTTCCGTATTCTTTTACTTATTTATTAAATAATTACAAATATCTTCGTTTTTCTGCCTCACCTTTCAAAATCTGTGGTTTGCTACGGATTTCGACGGTCTTGGGTTGTGTCCAAAATCCATCGTTCGTAGACTTTATGGACGCACGTCTGGCTTCTGATTGCCGATTGGCTAAACATTAAACAAAAAGGTCAGCTGATGTTCTGGGCTCTCTTTTGCCGATATAATACGTTTATGCCTAAATTCCTTTTCATACCATACCGGCTACCTGGAATACTCAGCAAATTGGCCAATTGAAATACATGACTACATTTTAAATCCATCTGCAGCAGCAGCACTAATAATGAATAGAATCGCAACGACTATCTTGTCTTTTAGAATGTTTGACTTCAGATTATTTATGCGACACACGGCATTTAACTCCAACTAGATTGAAATGCTAATGATTACTAGGGACAACGTATATTTCATTAATTTGTGTTATAAATATATAGTAAATTTGTGTGCAGGTGCAATTATAAATAAACTCAATGAATATTGAATTTTGAATCTAGGATATATTATATAATCGAGAGAATACCATGTTGTCATAACAACCAAACGCCAACTTAGTACTTACTTGCTAGAGGGGGCGAAGTTACGGCCACTTTACGAGTCTTGCCTGTTCTTCTACTTCTACTTTTCTTCTAAATTAATGTCAACAGTTTTGTTTGTCGTATAAGATATGAATAGTAGAGGCATATTAATTTTTATACAGTACATTTATAAAAGTACTATAAATTTGATTATTCACTTTCTAGTAACCTTGTTTTCCTTCCAAACATCGGGAATAATAGTGCACTATATAACAACTTAATACATTATTAATTTCCTTTCTATATTTATACTATTTTGACGGGCTTAAAATATAAAGAATAACATTGGAGACTTGTGTACCTTAGCAGTTTTTGTTGGGTTTGATCTAGCATATTCTAGCTGATTTCTTGGTATCCAATTATCTTCTTCCGTTGTGGCTTCATTGGTGGGGTATACATAGTTTACCAACTGCCTAATCATTTCCTGAAACATCTTATCTGCTCAAAACTATCCAAAACCAATTTGCATTAGATATTATTATAGTAGCCTACGTCACAAAAGTCTACTGTCTAATAACTGGATTCAGCGTTTTATTATTTTTTACAGGGTAAAATAAAGACAGTCACTGTTATTCATTGTATTATGTATTCGTGTGTTCCTTGCACTTTATTCATTGGGAAATAAGAAATTCAATCCATCTATTTCGGCACCGATTAGAAAGTAAATTTTGATCAATCTATCATTTTCACCAATAGACGTATACATTTCTCTTACTAACAAGAATTGAAATTGGCCTAACTAGATACTCCACTGTCTAGTAGGGTGCCATATTTTCAAAATTTGTTAAGATTTCCCCATGATCTTTTTATAATGGCTGGACGCGAAATTTTTTTTCCTGGACGTTTGAGGCAGTGGAGATTGGTGGAGCTATAGATTTAAAATATCACCTTCCTGATTCGGCAATAAATCATGAGTATTTATTGAATTCTTATTGTCAGAGCGGTTTCTATACCGTAAGTGCTGATGACATGCGATAGCGACATGGCGAAGATGAAGAGTGTTGAACACCACAGACTTAGCTCTCCATTTATTATAATTCTGAAATACATAGGCCTATTTTTGAAATGAATAATGATTAGGCTATATTTACAAAACAATACCGTACCGTATACAGTTAGGTCTAGGCCGTATTTTTTAGGAATGTATCTCAGTCACGCATACCAAAATATAAATACTTATAAGTTGGAGGCCTACGAAATGTATTTAGGCCTACTTGACGTATGCAGTAAAGTACAGTATTAAATAAGCACAGTAAATATAGATCTAATAATTATCATGGCAATAATTAAATAATACCAATAGTGACGATAATGATGATGATAATGACCAATATTATCAGTATGAACATTGCTAATATAAGGTATACAAATGGGACTTGTTTTTTAAGGCATCAACAAAACTTTAAAAATTCAAACAATGTGTGATAAAATTAATTATAATGTTACTATGTTACTTACTGTGGTCTTTTTTTTACAGTACTGTGTGTTTCTTCATGATTTCTGCGGGTACTGCTGTACTTTTATTAGTAGTGTTACTGTATTATATTCTTATTTTGGTGTGTAGGTTTATATACTCCGATGGAATTTTGCGTCAGGATAAACGATACGAAAAGATGTTTGCCCTACCTGACGTGGTACCGTATAGTATTGAATGCTCAGTACATTCCCAAATGAAGTTGCGAAAGAAAAACCCCCAAATCACTTGCGCGATTGTTTTTGCAAGTATTTAAGAATGTACTGAGCATTCAGTACATATACAGCGTCAGGTAGGACAAACGTCATTTCTTAGGTTTATATACTTTTAAACAAATAAACAACCCTTATTCACAACTGGTTGCAGCCTATTTGTTCACTTATTGATAGAAAAAATTAAAAATTCCATATCATTCCAGAAATCCCAAGGTTTAATGAAAATTTAACAAAAAATCCCAAGATCTCAAGGTGCCATTAAAAATCCCAAGTTCTTGGGATAAATCCCAAGCAGTGGTCACGGTGGCAGGGAACTAATATTCATTGCATCAAGGAGGCGTTACGTTGAATCTATAGCGCCACCAATCCCACTGCCTCAAACGTCCAGGGGAAAAAACTAAAAGAAACTAATAGTTAAACAAAACAATTATACAATAACAGTATAGTACTGTATTGTGTATTGGTGTTAAAGCAATACCCACTAAATGCACAATATCGTTTCGCAGGACTTCGCTCGCTGTAGCTTTTTCACGTCGCGCTGAGCGAAGGTTGGGCTACAGTGATCGGTGGGATTCACTGTGTGTGGGGTGGTGATGCTTGATGTAATACCTCAGTGGTTTATGCTGTAATAAATGCTGTAATAAAATTAAAATACAGTAAACAAAACAAATAAATGGGGCCTAGCATAGGCTATATATTACATACTACATCTAGCTTGGGTCTGCTCTCTCTCCCTAGCGCCTACACTATGTCAACAGAGTATTCAGTACACTCTTTGAAGGCCGAAGCAATCTAAACTTACTATTTTCTTATATGATATGTATTAATTTTTGAAAAATGTATTATATTACAGTAGTCTAATTACATTATTTTTTGGGAAAAAAAAAGTTAATAATTAGTCTAAATCGTAACACCTCTGCGAGGGCCAATGTTCCTATGCAAATAACGGGACACGTACACCAGGATTTTGATTAAGTTATAATAAATTTATATCACTAATAAATAAAACCTTGAAATATAATATTTTTGTCGATGATAAACCTGCTAATATTAACAAGGCAAGGAAACAAACAAACGTTGAGTGTAGAGGCCTAGGCCTATTGTTACAGCTAGGCTTACTGTAAAATCGGCAGATGAGGCGAACCTACGCACTACCGTATGTCATTTCTATATACAGCACTAATGTGCCATGCGCGAACTATCGTATCAAGGACACTCAATAGGCCTAATTTTACCCAGAAAGGTTACTGACACTGCATATTATATTTAATAAGACTGAGCAAAAGTTTCTCAAACAACTTCTCTAATCCAAACATATTTTAATATTTTTTTAAAATCAATAACGAAAATTGATCATGTGATATAATTTTAAAATTACCCTATGTTATGGGTAATAATGAAACAATTTGAGAAACATGGTTTATATACACTATATACACTGTTTAAATAAATAACACAATGACGACACAAACATTTACTTATAAATGTTTATTAGTATTTTTTTGATTCGTCAATGCTGTGTTTATAATCCTTTAACATACTAAGTTTATTGGAAATTCAATTTGAGAATACGTAAATTCTCTATTCATTGAGAAAATAACAGTAGAAGTACACGTCCCTATGGTTACGTTAACTCCCTATTCATTGAGAAAATAACAGAAGAACACGTCCCCATGGTTACATTAACTCCCTATTCATTGAGAATATCAGTAAAAAGTTCACTTCCCCATGGTTACGTTCCGCGCTGTTAATCAGGTCTGTAGCAGCCTTCCACTGGATTGAAGGCCAAAGCATGCACCATTTTGTACAACCACAACCAAAAAGCAAACATGGAATGGAAACCATGGCAGTAAATAATCTTATGGTAGCCTAGTTTACCGAACAAGCCAATCGGCTTTTCTCGGCAGTAGCGCGTTTACGCTCCTGAATCGGAATAGGCGGCGTACAAAGAATTAAACTAATTAGGTGACTGACCATGTGTCTGATTCACATAATGGAGTATCGTGCCAACTTGGTGGGAACCTACTTGCGGAACATTTCTTACTCAAGTGTTACTAGGCAACTTTACAGTACTGGGAAATTTAGTATTGTTGCCTATTTCGTGATGGATCGGGCGGATTAATTTTATTTTCTTAATCGTTAAGTGTTTCACTCGGTCGGAACTGAGCCAACAATGGTTTCACTCTACCGTAATGTACACACGTTAGTCTATTATCCGATAGAAGTGCAAAAGGATTACTGTATCCATTCAGGTATCAAGTTTGTTTTATGTTTTTTTTTTCAAACCACAACACAGTTCTATTCTGTCTGCTGTAGAACCTTATCCAAACTGCAGTAGTATAAAATTGAGGTTTTTGGAGTGCAGATAAAGTTTTATATCCATAACAGCCAGGAAATTATGTGTCCGATCCATCACATTTAAGACCATTAGTTTGGACAACGAGAGTACACAACATTCCATAAATGTTTTCCTCTTATCATACAGTTTACTAGTCTTTTCAAGAGTAGGGGGTATTGTCTCTCATTAGTATGGCTTTAATATTTGTCAAAATAGAAAACTATGAAATAGGGCACAACAAAAGATCCAGATTAGCTTGGGTACGGACGCACAAAACAAACAGATGTCTGGAAAGTCACGTTTGCCTGTTTACCAAAAAACTGCGTAACATACTAGTAACGTACGTACATACTACTAATACACACGACCAGGATTTTAAAAGTTCCTTATGCTTTCAAGCTTAGGAACCTAAAAATCAGTCCTCATAGAATTCTAGAGAATCCTTATGGTAAGCTGGACATCTGTGACTTTCGGGTGAAATTTTTAACTCTGAACTTTAGGGTCTATCCGTTATTCATTCATTAACAAAAAATAAAGGATCGTCGGGCATTAACACGACACGGGCGATACAGACCCGATACTGTATACAAGTAGTTCAAATTAAAAAAAAGAAACGACCAAAGTAACTTACAATATAGAGAACAAAGACATGGAGAGTTTCAAACTGCAACTTCTTTTCTGAGTGCTCCCATCGTCATGAGTCTGGCCTTCCTGGCACCCAGTCTTCACATATTGTCATATATACTGTGTAATAATCACTATTTGATGTTACGAAATATATACTGTATTCGTTATTAAATTTGAATTGATACTGATGTATTTTTATTCCAGTGCAACTCCAAGTAGGCCTTTATGGGATGCCATAAGCAGCAAAAGTCCATGTTAAAATCAAAATGTAATTGCAAAATTCAGTGTCTAATTTATCAAAACGTAGGCCTAGGCGTAAATTTCTCAAAATGTAGATCTGGTTTCCCAAAACGTAGCTCAGATTTTCCAAATGTAGTTCTATTTTTTTTTAATGTAATCGTAGGACTGACATGATCAAACGCCGTCTCCAAATTATGTGTGAAAACGTAAATCAAAAACTAGCCAATTATAACTGATTTCATTACATTTTGCAACAAGGACATGCGAAATGTAAATCAAAATTAGTCAGCCAAGCATGACTGACGCCTGTTCCATTAATGATGGGGAATCAATTTTCGCTGCAGTCTAATGCCGTGAAACAACGCTTCCCAGTGTGTCTTTAATGAGTACCGCGATTACGAGCCCTATGCTAGGCATAGGCCTACAGAACATACAGAATTTTACTATATTATTTATAGGCCTTGCATAGACCAGGCCTCCTACTATAGTTCAGGTTATAGAGGCCTAGTCCAAGACCTTACTGCAAATCCCAGCCCACATAGGCCTAGCCTATAACAAAGAGTATACAACAGACAGGGACGTAGCCAGGATTTTGAAAGGGGGGAGCCGTTATGCTAATTACGTATGACCCCGGCGGGGTCAAGGGAGGGAATCCCCCTGTGAAGTAGCGCACACTGAGCGTTCTTAGGACTGTTTGAGAGGATAAAGTGAAAATTGCAATAGACGCATTATAAATAAGCGAAAAAATAATTATATAATAAATGAACAGTGGCAGATCAAGGAATTCGAAAGAGAGGTGAACCAGAGAGGACTTTCACAGACCGAGGAACCACCCACCTCAGCCCCACCATGGTTGGGGCTGAGGTAAGAAAATTTATGATTAGGGCATCTCTAGATGGCCGGAAATTACACTCTCGCACTTCAATTTGAATATATTTTTCCTTTTTTTCCTTAAAAAAATTAAGGGGGTGCCTTGAATCCACCTCTGCTCAAAACATTCTTTATCCAGAATAGTCATAATCACGAAAAATGGACATGGAAACCCAGATCACATCCTAAAAACAAACAGCAGTCACTAAGACATACATCAGGAGCCGACTCGATGGAGTTTAATGCCCATACCCAGGAAAGAGCACAGATCTGTTTTGAAAGGTGGAGGGTGAGGACATTTTGTAAGTCGACACCCACCCCAGCCCCACAATGGTTGAAGCTGAGCCCGTATATCCAGTAGGTGGGGTATAACCAGGGAACAGATTCACTGTTCCCTGGTATAACGCAACCAACCAAATTTGATAAAGTCCACATTTCCAAGACAGTCGAGAATGCACTTAATATAAATTTGTGATTTTCTGTGATTTAAAAATAAAATCTCACATTTATATTTTAACCAACAGGCCTAATCTACTCAGTCTGTCGTGATTCGGAAAAACGCAATTTATTCAATCCTGAAATTTTGGCTTAGGGGCACCCCGTGGATGTAATATATCATGGAACGTGATCATATAGGCTTACTCCAAACAATTTTTCGAAATATGAAATTTTTACGAGAGTTACGCATTATATCCAACCATTAAGCACTGAAATGTTGGCAATCAACCAATCACAGAAAACATTTATGCATATTTAATTACTTTCCCAGCTGGTGGCAGTACAGTAAAAATGCATTATTATTTTTCCAGAAGTTAAAACTTAAAAGTTGTGGTCATATGATTAATTTTAGAACCGCATTATTAACAAGATTATTAGGTTGATCGTCGGCGCGTGCACTGAAAACGTATTTTTTTAGTCATTTTATTTTTTATTTAAATTAAATTTAACATGTGTATAATGATTTTGATAAACAATCACAATTTTATGTACTACGGTATCTGTTAAAAATTTAAAGAATGGACTTCCTTATGTTGTGGTCGTATTAGACGGTAATATTTTTAAAAACCATTCAACAAACAACATAAAACAAAATTCCCACGTTGGTGCATGCATAAAACGTGTAATTTCTTGAAATTTGGATATACAGCGGACTTCCTTATGATTTAGGCCTAAGGAAATAAATATTGGTCAGAACTTTGTAGGTGACGAAGTGCTCTTCCTACATGTTGTGGTCATATTAGAATATGATATCATTAAAGACAATTCAACAAACCACATAAAAAATTTATGTAAAACTTTCTGCTTCCAAACATGCATATAACGTATTTTTTTAGATATGATATTTTCATGACAGTCGAAAATGTACTGATTATATAAATTGTAGATAATTAATGTTGTCCGATTGTGTGCATCATTGAAAATGTGACGACGAACTCGGTATACGGGCCTCGGTTGACACTCATATCAAAGGGCCTGTTAATTAACATTGCACAGGAGCCTGTCGTCACCTGCTACGATGCCTCTCATCATCACATCATCATATTCATCATTATTCATTATCGGGAAGGCACCCCAACTGTCATGACTGTCGCCGATAGGGTGAGCGATTCTATGGAAACCGAGCTAAAACTCTGGATCCGCGCCTGAGAGGTCCCAAAATTTTATATTCCCTCAGTCCTAACCATAGTGGGAGAAGTAAGGTGGACCCTCACGCATCCCCCTACCGCCAAATCCTGCATCCGCCCCAGCGCATAATAATCAGGGACGGATCCATTATTTGAAAGAGGGTGGTTCAAAATGTCTCCAAAAAAAAAAAAAAAAAAAGAATCAGTTTTATTTAAATATTATCAAATATTATTAAACTTTAACGATTACATTATTTCATATAATATATTTTTCAAATAAATATCTAAACAATTTTCATTATTGAAATGTCAACTCTGAAAGTAAATTTACGTAGATTAGTTCAACAAAAATGGACATAGTAGTAATCCTTACCTATTCATTAACAATAATAACTTTTTAAATATTCCAATCAATTTTATGATGTCTAGATAATTATCTCTTCATGTCTACATCATGTAGGAAAGAAGATCAAATGTTGCGATTCTGGATCTCCTAATGTCTACATTTTTCAGAAGAGATGATCACACGACGAGATGCTAAATCTCGTCATGTCTAAATCTTTTAGAAGAGATGATCAGATGACGAGATCCTTGATATCATCATCCTATACATCCCTTAAAAGAGGTGATCAGATGACGAGATCCTGGATCTCGTCATGTCTACATTCCTCAGAATAGATGATCATGTGAGGAGATCCTGGATATCACCATGTCTACATCCTTTACAAGAGATGATTAGTTGACGAGATCTTAGACTTCGTCATGTCTACATCCTTTACAAGAGATGATTAGTTGACGAGATCTTAGACCTCGTCATGTCTGCATCCTTTAGAAGAGATCATTAGATTACGAGATCCTTCATTTCGTCATGCCTACATCCTTTAGAAGAGATGATCAGATGACGAGATCTTGAATCTCGTCATGTCTACATCCTTTAGAAGAGATAATTAGATGACGAGATCCTGGATCTCGTCATGTGTACATCCTTTAGAAGAGATGATCAGATGACGAGATCTTGAATCTCGTCATGTCTACATCCTTTAGAAGAGATAATTAGATGACGAGATCCTGGATCTCTTCATGTCTGCATCCTTTAAAAGAGATGATCAGATTACGAGATCATGGATCTTGTCATGTGTACATCATTTAGAAGAGATGATTAGATGACGAGATCCTGGATCTCGTCATGTGTACATGCTTTAGAAGAGATGATTAGATGACGAGATCCTGGATCTTGTCATGTGTACATCCTTTAGAAGAGATGATTAATGACGAGATCCTGGATTTCGTTATGTGTACATCATTTAGAAAAAATGATCAGATGACAAGATCCTGGATCTCGACATCTGTACATCTGGAAGGTCACTATAAGCTTCCGTAGCTTTCGCATGCCCTTTGTTGTAAAATGTAATTCAAACCAGTCATGCTTGGCTGGTTTTTTATTTACGTTGGAGACGGCTCTGATCAAGTCAAACCTACGTTTTGAATTTGAATTACATTTCAAAGAAATTTGAACTACATTTTGGAAAATTTGAACACGTTTTGCAAAATTAGAACTTCATTTTGGGAAACTAGCATTTTGAGAAATTTACACCTACATTTTGATAAATTTGACACTAAAATTTGCAATTACATTAATTTGATTTTAACATGGACTTTTGCTAGCTGCGTATGACACCCCATAAAAGTACTGTATAGCCTATGAGGCTTTTAGATAACCCTATTTTAGTTGCAAATACAATTGCATACAGTAATTTGTTGTAGGGTCAGCATTTTAGTTGATTTTATGTTAGTCGAAGAGTCATGCTGACCTATTATTGTACAGGGTACATTATTTCTAAACTTGACTTTCCGTCATTGATTAAATGACAATATCATGCAATGCAGTGTAAGCGTTTTCCTTTCTGCGGTGTGCTGTTTATATAAAACCAGGTACGATAAAGGAAGACATTTATGTAAGCAGTTATCATAAGTATAGGTGTAATTTTTGCCCCACCTGACGTGGAAATGTACTGAATACTCAGTACGCTTGAAAACAATTGCGAAAGAAATCGCAAGTTGTTCTCGTGTGCGACTCAAACCCACGATATCCAGATCACTAGCCTGGCATCATACCTCAAGACCACCGAGCTTGCGCCTAATGGCCAGGGTTGAATTCGAGTCCAAGTAAGCATCGGGTACTGCAGTGTTGATAGTAATTGTTATTGTCGTGATGGAATAGACAGTAGGATGCGTCAGGAGAAACATGTATAGGTGTTATAAGCTTGTTTTTTTCTTTGTTTTGCTTGCATGCGTTCGGAAGACTGCAGCAAAATACAGTAGGTTTAGCGAAGCGAGATTGCGCATGCGCTGCCTTCAGACACTCTAATGAATATTTCATGAATTTTTGCTCAACTTACCTACGATAAAACACATTCGCGACCCGCGAGTGTATCAATCGTGATATGCTCAATTTCCTGGTTGGTGTAGTCACATGTAGGCCTAAGCATTGGAGAACATTAATGTTCAAGCTGTTTGAGTGCCCACCATTTATTACCGTATAGCACAATTGAGCCTTCCCATCGATGATTACGAATCCACACCATGCTTTGATTTCTTAGTCTGTGAATATCAGATCTTCGTAAGTAAACACAATATCATGACAATGGTTTTGTTTTTTCTTGGACAAACTTATTAATAATATTATCATTTACACAATGCAGTGCGGTCGGTTTCGTTTTCAGGAAATGCACTGGAGCTTTCCCATTCCCAAATCAATAATGCGCATGAGCGTAATATATATCATGGTTGTACCATTTATAAATGGGTGTATTATTTTTTTGTTTACGGACAGTAGAATTTCCCAAGTTCACTATATAATATTATTAAAGGTTTATAGGTATATTTTATGTTTATTTTAATCATTAATAATAAAAATAAAGGACACCATTTAGTCATGAAGCTATCATTGAAATAAATACTTTCCTTTCGGTTATTTAATGGAGTTATTTTATACCTCCATGACCATATTTACAGAATCTGGTCTACATATTAGGCCAAAAAAAAATGTTTCGTTGCCCTCTGCGTTGCCCTCCCAAGTTCACTATATAATATTATTAAAGGTTTATAGGTATATTTTATGTTTATTTTAATCATTAATAATAAAAATAAAGGACACCATTTAGTCATGAAGCTGTCATTGAAATAAATACTTTCCTTTCGGTTATTTAATGGAGTTATTTTATACCTCCATGACCATATTTACAGAATCTGGTTGCGTTGCCCTCCGCGACCGACGGAAGCTTTTTTTTTAATCGGGTCGGGTTTTTTTTTTTTTTTTTTTTTTTTTTTTTTTTTTTGGTTTTTTTTTTTTTTTTTTTTTTTTTTTTTTTTTTGTGAAATTTTGTTCAAAGGTCTCCCTTTCACTCAAGGACAAATTCCAAAATTAACATTTAGAACATAAAACCTAAAGCAGGCATGTATTTTTACCAAAATCAGGCCATATATGCACGCGTAAAATCGGTAAAATAGGTATTGGGCAATAAATAAAAACAGGCTTAGTAGCCATTGCTTTAAAGCCGGTACGTTGCTAGACATTTTAGGCTCAGCGTTACGGTTTTAGGCCAACCATGAACGAAATATTTTCGGTTTTTTTGTCGAAGTTACCTTCGATTGTATTACATAGAGGACGCTTGTTTGGACATTTTTCATAGCATAGTATGGTTTTGCTCGATCTGACCGTGCGTGATGTGTCGATCGGATGCACACAATAAATATTTCTTTAAACAGATTTATTTTTGTTAAATTTATTTCAATATACTGGTTAGTATTCATTCCGTCATTAATTTGAATAGACATATTTTTTGTTTGGCAAGCTTGCCATCGTTCTATTGTGGTGCCTACGAGGCCTTAGGCACAGGATCTTCATATTGGCAGTTTAATGCGATCCTATTTCAGGTAGGCCCTATTACTATAAAACAAAGGGAAAAAATCCGACCGACGATCTAGATTTTTTCCATTTAGCTGCAACACAACATTTTTTTTTTGTCCGGCCTTACAGAAATGCACATTGCCGTATTGTATATCAAATATATTTTGCTTACATTAGGCCAACTGAAAAAAAGTCAACTACCGGTAGATACTTCTGAGGATTAGACTTCGGCTGAATAATATCATAGGGTGGATAGTTAATTATTAATGCCGCCCGAAATTAAGACGTCATATTAAAAGATAATTTGTTGGCAGAAAAATGCATTAATTGTACAAAACTTAGGCTCGATGATGAAACAAAAGATTATATTCATTTTCCAATAAAACAGTGAATCTCACAAAATAATTACCGGTACATTACAATAGATTCTGATAAAATCACAAGTAATTATAAAGGTAAGAATACGAAACAATACAATATAAAATATTATTTTTATTTTATAGACCTATTAACATTGACTTGTTGATTTTAATATCTCAAATTGTTAATAAACGGCAATACAATCAATAATTAGAAACTGAATATTGATTTATGACATTAAAAAAAAAAAACCGAATTCTTTATGCAATATTAATACAATTATTGATTACATCAAGAGTGTTAATTACAATTGTGAGTATAATAGTTAGCGATAAAAAATAATAACCTCAGACATGGTATAGCAGCGATATGACACTCGCCTTGAGAGCGAGAGTTCGCATGCCCCAGTGATATAGACATTTTCGTTTAATGGCAACGATTACGATTATTACATTGCCACTCTTCTGATTTACTATTCATGGAATAAATATATATATTATTCAGTAGTTAATTTATAACCAACTCAATTACATGAATTTTATTTTATTCACTTCATCAACAACAAAAGCTTAATAACAAGTATACACCAGCATGAAAATTTAACATCAACTATAAACTACAGTACCTATATTAAATATAGACAAATAAAACAACACGGGATTAAAGACTCGACATTAAATATATATTGCGCAATTCTATACCTTTATAATATAAATTTCATTAGAGAATTTATATAAAGCATGATTTTATAAAATTATTACATTTCTCGTTTTATGTATATATCACCATTATAAAATAGAAATTATTATTACTATTCTATAACAAATATTGTGAAAATAGAAGTCCGTTACCATTATAGAAGTAAAGTTGTTACAGCACTGGTTTATCCTATTGAACAAATTATATATACTTTCAATCAACATTAAAATAATCTGTTTTGCCAATGTAAAGTATCAGTCCTGATTCTCATTGTAAAGATGAGATTTCATGTGTAGAGTATATTAGAAAATATAACTATATAACTACCATACCAACAAAAAATAGCCTAAAATTTACAACACCAAAAATACATAATTAACTCGACTGCCAATGTACATCTCACAAATACCTTAATCCTAATAATCAACTTATATATATATTTAAGTTTGATTTTATATAAATCGTTGATATACTTCAGTATTATTTCATGAATAATAAAATATACAGCAACAATTTGAAAGAGTTTGAAACTAGATGAAAGAATTAAGATCAAACCATGACACTTGGAAATTTCTAGAACAGTGTGCCGTTTTATATCTATCAGAAGTGATTAATGATTACATTATATTTATATAAAAAAACAGGATAAAAATTACATTAGAACATTTATTTATAAGCATGATTTGATAAAATTATTGCATTTCTCATCTAATTTAGAATGTATTTTATATCATAAATCTATTATTATTATTATTATTATTATTATAAAATATGAATAATTATTATTCCATATAAATCACTGTGAAAATATCATTAAAATAAAATAATTAAAAAAATGTAAAAAAAATAAATAAATAAAAAATAAAAAGAAGCAAAGTTATTACAGCACTGATTTTATATCTTATTTAACAAATTATAATATTACAGCGCATCAAACAGTCTGTAGAGAATTACAAGCTTCCTATCACTATAATATTATTCCGCTCTGCATAGCACTAAGCACTATAATTGCCTGAATATACATATCTTATTATTAATTTAACAAATTATATATATATATATATATATATATATATATATATATACTTTCAATTATGATTCTATAATCTATTTTACAAATGTACAAGTATCAATTGTGATTTTCAATATCAAGATGAGATTTGATGTGTAAATATAAATAGAATGAGTTTTAGTGTATACATAAATTGTGAACATTAGGCCTACTATTAAAAACTCGGGTCCCGACCCGCTGAAGCGAAAATACTGGGACATTTGTAAGCGATTATATAGGTAGGCCCATTTAAAATTTGGTATTTACCTCATTTATACATTAGAAATGCAAGAAGTGCAAAGTAAAACATACTTTTGTTATACAAATAAGATACGGATGTAGTTTCCAAAGATCAATAGTGTACAACTTGTATGCTACACTTTTAGAAATTCGTCATGAAATCCATATTGTACATCAGACAACCTCTGTCTTCATACGATTTTATCAAGTTTCTCCAAGTTTCATGTGTCTCTAATAGATTTTTATTACCTGTATAAAAAGTACATTATACACGTTAACTTATGTTACAATTGTGTGAGGAAATAGTATATAAACTTTATTATTATTGCTTCATGGCTTTGAACGTTGGCATTATCCACAGGCCTAGCGTAGATGTTATTACCATATATTTAATTTAGTATATTAACAAGGTTGACCCATACAGCAGAGCTGATCAATTGTGGGTAAATTAATATTTTATTATTGTGAACACAATCTTGTCAAAATCTTCCCCTAAAAATCTACTCCTCTCTTTTATTAACAATATACTGTAAATATATTTTTGACGAATATTGTTTATATTTGTTTGCCAGGCTTACCAATCAAAATTAGGCCTCGTTTTGCTCTCGTGATGGCAACATTTGTTTGGTTTTCATCTATAATGAAGCCAAGGCACTTCTTCTTCCAACCGATTGTTGGCTTTTCCTCAATTTGCACCAATGGAATGGATCGCACAGTCGACATTATGACGTAATCACTCTCACTTCCTGGATTTCAAAATAGAGAATTATCATTATATTTAACATCTGTAAAACTGTATAAAAGCTGATGAATGCGATGCTGATTATTATGCCGATAATAGAAAAAGAAGGTAACATGGATGGGACCATCCATTATTATGAACTATAATACCTCCATGATGGGACATAAGAGGATAGTGGTTATACGATGTTCATATTGTTGATAATTGTGATAAGAAAAAGAAGATGACGATGATGATGATGAAAAAATGAAGTGTTTATAAGTGTGGTTGAATTGATTGAGTACATAAAATCATCAGCAAAAACATAATAAAATAGAGGGCACTCTGAGAATGCATACCTCCGTTGTGAGGTGAGTTTGACGAGTTCCTGATCAAAATTGTTGGCAGTCCTAGGCTGCTGTATATAAAAAGTAGTTTTTCGTCGATTGTGACCTTGACTTTTGACCATAACCTTTCAAAATTTAATCACCTCGAGATTGTCATGGCTCATTAATCACCTTGAGATTGTCATGGCTCATTATGACGAAGTTTGAAAAATTATGATAAAACTGTGGCCTGTAAGCTGTTAACAGGCAAACAAAGAGGCAAACAGACAAACACACTCATATCCAATTGGGTCCTGGTATAAAGATGATAATATAAATAATAGCATAGGTGCCCTAATAGGGATGGTGATGTGGATGGTACTGGTGACTAGGAAATTGATAAAGAGGGGTATTTCAATATAAATTATTTATTCTAAAAACAACAAAAGATATATAAATAGAACATAAAATAAAGCTAAAATACAATATAAATTAGGAGAATGATGACGTGTAATTATGAGGATAGCTTGTTAGTATGACTGGTGATGTATAATTATGGCGGTAAGGTGTATGTCTACTGTATATTGATAATATATATTCTTAATCTTATTTTATTCCAATAGAAATATATATATAGGCCTTCTCTTATACACATCTAGATGTGTATAAGAGACAGGTGTGTGTGTGTGTAACGTTCCCATAGACCTGTATATAATTGACGAGATGCAACATGTTTATCTGAATCTTTTAGGGAGGCAAAGTTATATTCATTTCGACTGTCCGGACACGATAAACCTTAAATCTAGATGAGGTAACGGCAATCAAAGGGAATGACTACATTTCAACACACAAATATGGTTTCTTGTCTGATGTAAAGCTTCTAAACACTGCTTTTACACGTGGTAAATCCATGGTGGTAGTAGTCGGTGATCCAGTCGCACTTTGTTCTGTTGGTGAATGTTGTTTGTTTTTGACCGAATACGTCAAACGATGTGAGGCTCTCGGTGGTATTTCACCCAAAAGTCTTACTTTGATAAAGTAATGTACAATAGGCCTACAACACAAAAACTGGATCCCATGGCTAAAGCTTTTGAACCATCTTTTTCAATAAGAAAGGTGCAGACAATAGTACCTGACACTAACATTTCGACAAATGAAAATGAAAATATACAACAAAAGCCGATGATACCTGTATTAAAAATGACACCAAATTAGGCCTACAGCTTGATCATTATCGAAGAAAGCTGACAGAACAGCAACGCGAAGCAAAACGAAATGACGTAATATTGCGTGAGTTAAAATTAGGAGAACACAACGATGATTTCGAAGAGAACGACTATATTCAAAAAGAAAAATCCAAGAAAAAGCAAAAGACTAAACATAATTGGAAGAAGTTAGTACTGTACTTTTAATAGGCCTATTGATAGCACAGGGAATATGTTTGCAATTGAAAACAACACAGGAAAGCATAATTGTATAAGAAGGTGTACGGCGTTTGAAAAAGATGCTGTATTTATATTTGGCAAAGGTAATAATGATTGCAGCGATGAAATCTGCGGCGCAGTAAAATGCGTTGTCGAACGCCACTCCAATCCACATTTACAGGCGTTTGTTTAAAAAACACGAACGAATAACCTGGTGGTTCCAGTCAACAAGTCTTTACCTATTAGCTATTCTTGGTATTGAAAGCTCAACATACCCAAAGGCACGATTCAAAATCTATAAAGTCAGTGATGGCCACATGGATGAAGAGGAACCATTAGTACCAACGGGCATTGAAGAAGTATCTATCACAGACCGACCTAATGCTTTATTCATTTTAAGGTACCTAAAATGGTATCCGAAGTACGTTTATCCCCTAGGATGTGATAGAACGTCTACCGCCAGGGGATTCTCTTACAGGTTAGAGTGATGAGTATAATTATGAAGATAATGATGGTGATAATCGTCACAATAATTATATTGAAAGAAAATGGTAGACCTAATGTAAGAAGATAGTGCTGCTGATGATGATGGAGTGGTGATGATGATGATGATGTGATGTTGGCGATGATAACGATAATAATAGTGATGATGATTATTGATTATTATACCGTAGTAAAGACGATCATGGTAATGACGATCATGATACTGATGATGTGACGGATATGAATTAATGAAGTAGTTATTATTTATTATGGCACCCGTTAATCAATTCCTGATGCTGGGAGACAGCATACAGTTTCACAGGAGCACACTAAGATCGGTAAATGCGTTCACATTTATGGCACTTGAACGATTGATTATTGAATATGACTATGAGATATTGCAGCGTGTTGAATGCCCAGGCGCCGCTGTTTTAGCTGAAGTACGGTAGCTATAATGTGCATTGAAACCTAACATCTTTATGAAAGAGGATGAATACTACATGGCGGTTATGATGCCGAAAACGTTGTTGGTTGGTAATGAACTAAAAATATGATGAGAATGCTTAAAGGTGTTTAATATGTGTCAGTAATCCATGTTATACTCTTCACTCACCTTGACTCGTGATGACGGTTGCGGCCCGTACTTCACGTGTTCTACTGTCCTTATTTAGTTTAGTCTTTATTTCACTTAATTGTAACCGATACTGTGTCAAGACCAGAATATCCTTCGCTACAATCCTTTTCTCCAGTAGCTTCCACACAACTTTCATCTGTTGCAAATACATTAAATTAATACGATACGTTCAGTGGCTGATCGAGTGGAGATAGGAGCGCTCGAACTCTACACCTACCCTCCCCAGCGGCAGCCAGGAGACGATCACCAGCCAAGTATGAACTTGTCTAATTCTTACATTGAAAAGAATATTTCTTAGATATAAATAATAATAATAATAATAATAATAATAATAATAATTAATAATAATAATAATAATAATAATAATAATAATAATAATAATAATAATAATAATAATAATAATAATAATAATAATAATAACAATAATAACAATAACAACAACAACCGCTCGGCCATTCGACTCGATATAGGCCAGGGCTAGGCCTACATTAAACACCTAAATTAAAAATAAATATTATTACCATCATCATAGCCATGCAGGCTATGATGATAGGGCCTAGTATTATTATCATCAGCATTATGATTATCATTATTATTATAATTATTATTATTATTATTATTATTATTATTATTATTATAATTATTATTATTATTATTATTATTATTATTATTATTATTATTATCATCATTAATATTATGTTTTGCTTTTGTAGACTCATGTTATTGTAAAATCGTTTTTTTTTAATGATATATTAATAGACATAAATAGCAACTCAAATATGTCAATAATGGTAAGACATTTAAAAGAATGGTGCTGCGATATATTTCTTCCAGAGCTGTGAACGCGTCTGGACGGTAAATCGGCACAAACTGTCCTTACTTAAATTAGTATATGATTATCAAACAAAAATTGCATAATACTAACCAAACATTCTAACTCTTGTTGATTGCATTTGCTGTTCTCGTTACCTTCTTCAGTTTTTACTGTTTGCGATTCCTCCTTCCCGTCGACATGACAGAACAATGTATGGTACTCCTTATTACCGTCTCTTGGCCATTTTAAGGTGTCTGGCTTCCTTTTACTGACCGATATATCCGTCTTCAGTTTGTTGTCGTAGAATTGTTGTGATGGAAAGTCACATATGCTGGGATGCTGCATAAAAAGTACCAAATGAAAACATACATCCAATTAATTATTCAAGTTAGAATACTGCTATTAGGGTGAAGTTGCAGATTAGGATTGAGACCCCTGGTTTTTCAATCCAAAAGTTGTAGATTCAACCTGTAAAATTTGTTTGCCTTGCCTACTTCACGTCGAAACCAAATAAAACAACCGCACGACAACTTGTCGTCACGAATCGCCCTCTCAATATTTGTATTAAAATTCTCATTAATTTTCATAATTATTTTTCTATTTATTCTATATTTATACTGGAATGGAATTCCCAGTGCAAAGGCATTGATTGTTCTTACCATACGATATTGTATGTCAAGCATGATAGCCTCGTCAGCATACCGTTCTAATAGTGATATTTCCATGCCAAGTTCTCTCGCGTTTGGTTCCTGGACAATGGGTCTAAAGAAAACAGAATATTTAAATATAGGCCTAATGATTACACCACCATTTTTAAATACATTTTATATCAAATATTGAGAATACATGACCTCCCTACATATTTTAAGAGGTGAAGGTTGGAACCCCGCATTTTTGACCGCAATGTAATTTCATGTCAAGAAGATATATGAACTGTATACATGACACCGATTTTATGGGAAAGAGCGTTCTGCAATAGTTCTATGCATTTCTGATAAAAGATTGATATTTTGATTTGATTGACTCACGACTGTTCTCCACCTTTAAAAAGAGATCTGCGCCCTTGTACAATGATATCAACTGAAAGGAAATTACCGAAAACATAATAACACAAAAAAAAAATTAATTATGAATGAGATAATATAGTAAGACGATACCGAAGTTGCTTGTGATCTCCGATGAAGACAACTTTGTGCGGTGTGCATCCAACTAGTGGAATCAGAGACTCTGGCTCAGTACACATTCCCGCTTCGTCGATGATACATTCAATAATGTTACAGAATCTTCTTATTTCTGGGGCTCCGGCAACATTACACGTTGTGAGGATGACATCGTACTTTTGCAGTTCTTCTTTCTTGGATTATAAAAATAATAGCTGATTAGTATAAACAAACGGGGAAAAAATTTAACGACATATATATTATCAGTACACACTAATTTAGGTTTAGGGTGGCCCCCTAAATGTTCGAGCTCTACTCTCTTTATGGTGAACTTACCACTGTATACTTTGTTAATAATTTTCTATAAGTAGGCCTATTTGATTGTATAAGTGTTCAAAAAATGAAACTTGAAACTGGAACAATAATCATCCATAAAATATATGTAGGCTTCTTCATAAAAAACCTCTAACAATCAAAAAGTCTCATACCTTAGCATCCATAATTAGTGCTTTGTATGCTTTTATTTCCTCTTCTGTAAATAGTTTTTTTGCTTGAGCGTCATATTTGTCATTGGATTTTTTCGATTTAGCCTTTCTTCTGTACTCCTCAATTCGTTTGGTAAACTCCGCCTCCTTTCGTTCAATTGTGCATGAAAATGGATTTCCTCTTTGGCGTATTAGGTGATGAAGGGCTATATCTCGATTTTTCGGATCAATTGACGCTTCCATCATGGAAAACTTCCGTTTGGGTTTTGCAAGCCAGGGCCTTGGGTAATCTTTATCCTCAATGCTTTCACTGTAAACGCGAACCACCCTAATATCAGACAATCGTTTCAGGTAGCCTAACACAATGACAAACGAAAATAATGTTATATGCAGAATATAACGTTAGTGGTAAACAGCCAACGTTGCCAATTTCAAATTCAGCAACATATGCGCACCCATGATACATTATAGTTTAGATATTCTGATCCATTATGTACATAATCTGAACTCTCTAACAGGACTTTGACTCGGGGGTCTACGTTATAAATAAGCCTACGTATTGTTCTACGAAAGAAAAACGTTTTATACACTAAACTGTAACGTTATTATAACGTCATATTTACGTATTTTGTTAGCTGATTATGACACCACACCAGCATGTTTTTTTACTTCAGAAATAATGAAAGACCTATATTGAAATATGTAGCCCTATATGAGGTTTAAAATAATAGTGAAAGTATACCTGCAACGACCTCAACAGACTTATTTGATGGGCCACAGTACAGGACTTGGGGTCGATTAATTGCTTCCACGCGTTTATTTATTTGAGCAAAGAAAAACGCAAGCTGCGAACCTGTCACGCTCTTCCCAGTACCTAAAATCAAGGAAGCCATTGTAAAACATAAACCTAAAACGGTAAAATTCTTGACTATACACTTTTTATATATAAGAACCAGTAAAATTTTGACCAGACTCAGTGTTCTTATTTTTTTGGCCGATTTCAGGCTCAAAATGTTCTTATTTTGTTTTTATTTTTACACATTTTTCAGACATAAAAAATTATTATTTTACAGTCAGTATATTACTTTACTGTATTATAGAGGGTACCGGTATTGCATATTAACACCTGCAACTAAAGTAAAGATAGATTTGTTGGTTTTCTATTTAAAAAAAAATAAAAACCTCACTTGACATTTTACTTCAGCCTAAAATTGTTCTTATCTTGTATTTAGTTTTTAAGAGATTTCAACCTCAGTGTTCTTATAAAATGTGTTTTAATAAAATAAAAAAGTGTAGTTTATTTTGACTTTACATGAAATCAAGGGTATGTCGAAGAAGAAAAGAATAACGTCGGAGGAGGACAAGAAAAAGCATGTAGAATGCATGTGAGGCGCATACCGGGAAACAGGATTATTGTATGAAGAAGAAAAATACCAAGAAAGGTAAAAGACAATTACTGTACTACGAATCAGAAGATAAGAAATAATTATGAACAGATGATACTACATAAAAGAAAATAATAACAAGAGAAAGAATGGTAGGAGAAGACAATAACATAAAATCGTTGTGTTTTTTTTTTATACCTGGAGGACCTTGAATAACAGTAAACGTCTGTGAAATTGCCTTCTCGATTGCATTTATTTGTGGAAAGTTTGGTGGTGGAAGGGAAGATACGTTGTGACACCTTGGTATAGAATGTATCTTCCAATTCCTGCAGTTTCTGTTCAGACTTTCACGTATTAACACCTCGCCTTCAATAACTAATTAATTTAAGGAATAAACATTCAATTAATTAAGAAGCTTATAAATTAGATGGGTCCCATGATTTAGTAAACAGAAAACAACATATTTTTTTAGTACACCCTAATTTAAGTTTAAGGGTGGTCAAAATTGTCCAAGCTCTACTCTCTTTATGGTCAACCCAACACTGTATACTATGTTTATAATTCAGATTGTATAAGTCGGGAATAAATGAAACTTAAAACTGGAAACATTTCATCCAAAAAATATACGTGGCGTCGTCATAAGCAACCTCTAATACTAAAAAAAGGCTCACATTTTAGTATCCATAATTAGTGTTCTGTATTATAAAGATGCATTTAGAATTCATATAAAAAGCTTGGAAAGTAGACAACTCCCATGTTTTAGTAATGTCCATATACGCCAAATACTATCATAGTATTTGGCTTATATGGACATAATGAGGCTATGCGCCATGTCAAACTGGTTTTAACAAAAATGAAGTAAACCTAAATAATAATGTGCAATGCGACTAATAGAATAAAAAAAAACGAATATGATACTGACAATAATGATGATGGTGGTAATTTTTTTTTTATCAGATTTTACATTTTTTGTTTTATTCATTTGTAAATATAAAAGGTGATTAATTATTTTCATCTTTATATTATTCTATTGTCTTTTTATATGTACTGAGGGTCCCAATTGATCAGATCTAGCTAGAATGACCATCTTCACAACATATTGTCGAAATAAATAAATAGATCATGGGAAATTGAAACCGCCAATAACTTTAAAAAGTGAAAAATCAAAGTTAGTTTTTTCTGTTAGTTCTCTTTAACTGACCTCTATTTGAAATAATGTTAGTTTTGTCTGTATGTTCTCTTTTAACTGACCTCTATTTGAAATAATGTTCTGTTGAAGGACGATGCATCTTGCTAGAGACGTCTCAGAACGACATGGGCCTAAAGCAAGCACTGCTGCTTCTGTCCGCCTATAAAGGAAGGTGTAAACTTGATTACTTATTGGTTCGGGAATTAAACAAGGTTAATGTCAAGGTAAAAGTAAGAGAATAACCAATAACTCGCAGCGTCATTGGGCTGAATTGCGTATAGGTGTGGTCCGTGTCTACCTAGCCGCCGTAAAGAGGCGTTTATAGTAGGTACATGTTCACATCATTCCACAACGATAGCGACTGAAATGAACCATAGCATCGAGGTAACCCCCTACTCTTCTGAAAGATGTAACGGGTTAACTGACAGAGCCTGTCTCTTATACACATCTAGATGTGTATAAGAGACAGCCCCTGCACTGTACCTCCATTTTAAGTCTTGAGAAGACTTGGAAATATTAAGGCTGTAGTTAACAGCGCCTCTGCCTTAAGGTTCCGCCACTCGACTTACCCTAAAAGGAAGGTATAAGCCTTATTTTATTGTTCTGGGCTTAAAAAAGGCTAATGACAAAGTTAATTCATAATTGTCCCCTATAATATTGTAGTATTCCATATGTTCAAATCTTTCTAATTCTTTTTCAGATAACATTCTGCTAACATCAGTTTGTGGCCTAGATTTAGGGCATCAGGAAAATGCCTTTTTACATAATTTGCCGAATCTACACTTTACTTCTGGCAATGTTTTCAGACTAACTAACTTTGTTAGCTTCAAAATCACAACACACTAATAACAAAGCACACACTGCATCATAACCTATCTGGTGGACTTTTAGAGATTAGCTCTACGGTACATAGAGCTCCTTCTGTCCTTATTTGAACAAATGGCAATGGTATGGCAGATTGATTAAGCTTCAATTGGACCATCAAATACGTTTTATTTGATTCAACACTGTTATTTACATCAGTTGTATAACAATATATAGCGAGTCTGTAAAGCGTCACTTACTAATCATAAATTTGTGCAAAAACGTTCCTGTTGGCCTAAAACTTTGTTAGCTTCAAAATCACAACACACTTAACAAAGCACACACTGTATCATAATGCTACTTACCTATCTAGTGGACTTTTAGAGATTAGCTCTGCGGTACATAGAGCTCCTTGTGTCCTTATTTAAACAAATGGCAATGGTATGGCAGATTAAGCTTCAATGGACCATCAAAATACGTTTTATTTGATTCAAAATTACTATTTACATCAGTTGTATAACAATATATAGTGAATCTGTAAAGCGTCACCTACTAATCATAAATTTGTGTAAAAACGTTCCTGTTGGCCTAAAACTTTGTTAGCTTGAAAATCACAACACACTATAACAAAACACACACAGCATCATAATGCTACTTACCTATCTGGTGGACTTTTAGGGATTAGCTCTACGGTACATAGAGCTTCTTGTTTCCTTATTTGAACAAGTGGCAATGGTATGGCAGATTGATTAAGCTCCAATTGGATCATCAAATACGTTTTATTTGATTCAACAATATTATTTATATCAGTTGTATAACAATGTCCAACCCAAACATATGTTGATTTTCCTCTCAAATGTGTCGGTTTGCTATCTTGAGGGCGAGGCAGACACTGAAGATTAGAGTAACGTATGCAGAGGTAGTCCAACGCCCGAGTACCAGCTGTATCGTCATCTTGATTCTCTTTTCCTTTTTTCATTGATTTTCTAAAAAATCTGGGACAAACCAAAATCGTTACAATAAATGCGCTTACTGTATATCGATCATTATAAATAACAGCCAACATACACAATTAAATAATAATAATAATAATAATAATAATAATAATAATAATAATAATTATAATAAAAATTATTATTATTATTATTATTACCCTCTCCCCACGAAGTGGCGTGAGGGTAATGCAATGAGCTCCGCCTGTCTGTCTCTTTGTTTGTCAGTCGTTTGTGTTTGTCCTTCCGGGAACATAACTGAAAAACTCCTGGACCGTTTAATGTCACACTTTTACAATATTACATGTATCTCGGTCCTCCCAGATTTTGGTGCTAATCAGAAGTAGGATGTAGATTTTAGAACGTAAGTTATTTATATAGTTTTGTCACAACTGACAGAGCAGCTCAAGCGGATCGTTCGACTGTGTCATTTGGCTAGGCCCGGCTGACTCGAGCGGATTGACCGCGGATCGTCTGGAGCGTACAGACCATGTGTCAAATTCTGGCCAGCGGACTAGAGGCAGCCCGGTAGGCATGTAAGCCCGACTGATGGGCTTGCTACTTGAGGCCTATGCTGGGCCTCGTTTGGCTGATGAATTGAGAAGTAAGAGGCAGATTTTATATTTTTTAACTGCTGTCCCAATTTCATAAATAATGAAATATGAAAAAAAAAAATATTTCATAAGATGCACAAATAATAATCTGAGATAACAAACCTCGCCCTGCTGTCGCGCCGTATCTTTTTATCTGCTGGTTTGTTGTTGTATCGAAGCGGTATTACAGATATTAGGTGAAATGTAGCCGAGCGGTAAAGATGTACGTTTTGTGTGCAAAGATAATCGAACGTATGAGGTTTAAATCTCACTCTTGATTGATTAAAAAAAATATTATTTTGTTATTTTTATTTGTGCATACATATAAAAAATTGAAAACAATTGTGAAAAATGAATAATGAAATAATAATAATAGTTTTTCAATGTTCTAGTATATGTATTTAACTTTAAAAAATAACAATAATAATATTGACTATAATAACATAATAGAACGTATGGGGTTCAAATCTCACTCTTTTTATTATTATTAATATTTTCTTATTATTATTATTTGTGCATCTTATCTTTCATATTTTGTTTAATTATTAAAATCTCACTCTTGCTTGGTTTTTAGAAAATTATTATTATTATTTAATTTTTAGCGATATGGCGCGACAGCAGGGCGAGGGCTTGTAACCTCAGATTATCTTGTCATTATTATTACTATTTATTTGAACATACACTTTTGTATCAGTTGCATACGATACTTTGACAGTGCGTTCAGAAACTGCAAGTACTAAAACCTAAGAAATGAATTACAATACAGAATCATCATATTAACATAAACATACAAAGCAAAATAAAGATGGTAGTAAAACAAAAAACTAGGTAAAAGTGAAAACTAAAGATAAAAAAGTAACATATATTATACTCATGCAGCATATAATGAATATAACAAAGACTGAAATTGTGTTTATATACATAATTATCTCTTCTAAATTTAATATAAAGAATGCAACTGTTTTGGTTACCGTAACATGTTGAAATCACAGAATTCTTCCAGTAGCTTAAATGAGCCTGTGAATGATCCGCTGCCATCTGGCTGCCATTGGATTTCAACGTTACTGATAATAGTTGCATTGTCTTCATTCACTGCTCCATAAGCTGAGCACATATCTAGTACTGAAAGCCATGTCGTTCTATACCGTTCAATACATTTTGAATCACGAGGGTTTTCGTCCGCTAGTTGAGAGAAACAAAGAACAGGATTTTTGCGATGCTCCAGACACACATCTATGTTTTCAGCTAAACTAACAAGCTGGATGGTTGGTTGAAGCATCCCATTTCGAAGCTCAGGTGCTAGGTGAACCCGCATTACGTCAAAGCGTTGAAACTTACATTCAAATTTTTCGTAATTTACTGTGTCTACTAACATTTTCTCTTTTCTCGATTTACTTTTTATGTGAATGTTTTTCATGCAATCGTTCAAAGCATTTCTCAAGTCTGTTTGGGTTCCAGATGTAATGGCATCTACCAATTTCTGCCAAATTTTGCTTTCCATCTCAACCAAAAATCTAGCAGGGTCCAATCGTGAGAGTTCATGCTTATTCATGGACAATAGTAAGCTCGATTTATCGCGGGCATCGAAAAGACTTATCTTCCACGTTACAGTCGATATCTCATTTGTTGCTACAACACGTTCAGATGGTTTCAAATAGTTAAACCCTAAAGGAGATTGCGATCGATTAATGTAGGACTGTGGGAACGCTAGGTATATGTTTGAATCATCTACGCTGTCGATGACTGGTTGATAAGGAAGTGCACCATGCTTTTTTAGATCAAGTGCCAAAACGAGATCTTTTGTTCGCCGGTGGAAACGCTTCGCATTCAATGCCTTTTCATTCATGTTATTACAAATATCTTCAATTTCCTTAGGTGTGTAAGGAGGTTGATTGTCTTTTTTTAGTGCTGCCACGAGAAGGCGATGTACAACCAGGTCGATGTATCTTCGAATAGGCGACGTGAAATGTGTGTAGCGGGACAGTGATAGTGAATGATGGCTTTCGTCATCCCGACCAGAACAAACGTAATCAGAATTAAATTGAATGTTATAATACTTCAATTTCATTAACATTAGCTGTGGATGCAACATATCATTTGCCACCAAATCAATCATTTCAAAGAAGTCTTCATCGTCGGATCTTAAATTAGGCCTAGAAGTTTCTTCTTTATTCTGTTGTATCTTTAACAAACGGACAAGCTTGTTCCAAACATCTTTGGTCAAAGTCATGCTACCAGATGAGTCGCATGGCAAGTCTGCTATCTTAGCTGACATTTCTAAACTATTTTTTATTGGCCCATGGAATGTTTGAGTCCATTCCTGCATTTTGTCTGAATCTGGCGGCAACTGTCTTCTTAATGGGACACAATTTGGAAACGTTGTGGTTAGAAATGTGGCAACAGCTTCATTTGCAAGTAACATGAATTCTTCGACAAGTGAATGTGCTAGAGGACAATCTAGGTCATCAGTGACATCATCGTGGTTGTAGCAGAATCTCCCGCTTTTCAATCTAGTTTCTCTTATTTTGATTGCGAGTTGATTTAGTAATAGTATTTGCTTTGTCAGGTTTTCACTTGGTCCATTAGATCTTTTGTGAATTATTTCCTCAACCTCTTTATAAGAAAATTGATTGCGGGAATGAACAATGGATCTCACAATGTTTGTTCCATCTTTTACGGGACACCCTTCTTCGTCGATTTTGAAAATCACCGATATTGTTAACCTGTCTTCATTTGGTATTAAGCTACATTTATTACTGCTAAGGTTTTTGTGAATCATAGGAATAGGTTTTGCTGAGGTCGGATAATGCGAGATGCATCTTTTCTTTGCCTCTAAATCGATTTCCGATTGTCTTTGAACAAAATATGAAACATCCGAAATATGAATACCAACTTTGTAATGACCATCAGATAATATTTTAACGCTGAGTGCGTCATCGAGATCATTTGCGTCTATGGGATCTATCGTAAATACACTCTCCTTTCTGAAGTCCAGTCTGTCATGGATTTCGGTTACTGGAATTCGCCATTTTTCGTTGAACTTTTTACCTTCTTTTACTTCTTTGTTTACAGATTCACTCCATTGGCCTTGGACGTTAACATTGTGTTCAAGCGAAATTATTTTAAGTCCCCTACCAAGAGAATCCCCTGGCGACAGTCGTTTTGTCACACATCCTAGGGGATAAGTGTACCTTGGATACCATTTTAGATACTTTACAATGAATAAGGCATTAGGTCGGTCTGCAATAGATACTTCTTCAATGCCCGTTCGTACTAACGGTTCCTCTTCATCCACACGATCATCACTGACTTTATAGATTTTAAATCGTGCCTTCGGGTATGTTGAGACTTCCATACCAAGAATAGCTAATTTAGGTAAAGTCTTGTTGAGTGGAACCATCAGGTTGTTGGTTCTTGAGTCTAATTTGCAGACATGCGCCTGTAAACGTGGATTGGAGTGGCGTTCGATAACGTATTTTACTACGCCGTATATGATTTCATCGTTGCAATCATTATTTTCGTATTTGCGTAGTACTTCAACAACAACTGTATCTTTTTCAAATGCCGTACCCCTTCGTCGTGCACTTGTTATACAAATATGTTTTCCTGTCTTGTTATCAATTGCAAACATATTCCCAGTGCGATCAATATTAAAAGTACAGTATTTGTATTTTTCTGGTGTCTTTTCACACACATCTAACCAATAATCGCTGGAATGCTCTGGTACACCTTCTTCTCGGGAGGGAATGTATTTAATATCCCGTCCTTCTATAACTTGATCATAGTTTTCTAATTTCCTCCAATTATTCCTACTCATTTTCTTTTTCGCGGATTTTCCTTTTTGAATATCGTCATTCTCTTCTAAATCCTCGTTTTGTTCTCCTAATTTTAACTCACGCAATATGACGTCATTTAGTTTTGCTTCGCGTTGCTGTTCTGCTAACATTCTACGATAAGTATCGTGCTGTAGGCCTAATCTACTGTGATTTGTCGAAAAGGTATGCTCTGGTACCGGTCTATGCACGTTTCTTATTAGAAAGGATGGTTCAAAGGCTTTAGCTGTGGGATCCAGTTTCTGTCTATTATTGTACATCTCTGTCTGTATTTTATCAAAGGTAAGACTTTTGGGTGAAATACCATTTATAGCCTCACATCGTTTGACGTATTCAGTCCAAAACATACAACATTCACCAGCAGAACAAAGTGCGACTGGATCTCCGACTACTACCACCATAGATTTCGCCCGTGTGAAGGCAGTGTTCAGAAGCTTTACATCAGACAAGAATCCATATTTGTGTGTTGAAATGAAATCTGTCCCCTTGATTGCCGTCATCTCAACTAGATTTAGGGTTTTTCGTGTCCGGACAGTTGAAACGAATATAACTCTAAACCTGTCTCTTATACACATCTAGATGTGTATAAGAGACAGTTCATGGACAGAGGCTGATATGGTGCTAAGGCATCCAAATATGGTAATAGTAAAACTCGAGCGTCACGACATTGCGAAGTGTCTGATCTTGTTCCTCGTGTCGTACTCACTCGAGTCCATCCGAGATGGCCCGAGTGAAATTTCATGCAAATGTTTCGTACGGAAAAAAAAATCGCGCGCGGTGGAGTAGTGGGTAATAAACACAGAGCTATTAAACAACTAGAGTGCTGACGATGGCGGAGCAATGCAGAGTTGTGTATGTGTACCATCCAAGATGGCTGCCGTAGGAAAGCGCCACCTTCAGGCTTAGTATACATATTATTACCATAAATAAGCCCTTTTGACTGAATATTATTTCATTAATGATAATTAGTATTGATAATGACAAATTATTAAACTGTCGTAGCCAAAAAGAGGCCAAGTAGAGCATCTTATTCAAATATTAAAAAGAATTAAAATCGTGTACATTACCCCCATACCTGTCTCTTATACACATCTAGATGTGGTAACTAGCTGTACTGAACTTTCTGTGTAAATTGAGGGCGCAATTGAAAATGATAGTGCTCAGGGGAAATTTGATTGACTGAATCTATGGAAGCCATCTTGGATGGTACACACACACAGCTCTGCGTATTTCGAATATCGAATACATTGCTGTTAGGGCTCTAGTATTCTTATTATATCTCTAATGGCAATAAAACACATACAAGCGTTAGTTGGCGTCCTACACTAGCTGCGTATGGGCGTATCGTTTTTTTACGCTCTCAATGAGCGTTGTTGGCTCTCTTGTTCTATTTATACTCTTTGATAACACTACGAATACGATGAATCTATTGTAATTGTGTTAGAAAGAACTTGTTTGTAATGCTATTTTGATAGACATTCGTCTAAGAAATCAACATTTCAGCATTCGAGAGAGAATGTCACTAACGTTTTTGGTCGGTGGATGCAGACAGGTAAAAATCGTGCGATGATTTCATAACTAGGCTAGACTACGGCTTAGTAACCTGAAGTTTTGTTCCTGAAGTCTGAAATCTGAAATCTGAACCTGAAGTTTTTAAAATAGGTCTAGAATATTCCTATTAAATGTTCAGTTTGTTTTGTTTATGAGGGTCCATTATTCAATGAATTTTTATTTGTTCATACATATTGAATAAGTAACTTTCTTCGGGAAATTACAATTGAATTTTCATCGCGGTGCGCGATGTCTCCACGGTGACGAAAAAATGAGGAATTTTTTTTTGAAAACGAACCTAAAAAAATTAAGCCAAGCGTCCACTAATTGAAAAATTATTGGACGGTGGGAATAGGCAAATAACATTGGAAGGTCCAGTGGTGACGTCACGATTGACTTGTAATACACTTTATAAGTCAATCGTGACGTCATCACTGCAACTCCCAATGTTATTTGCCTATTCCCCACCGTCCAATAATTTTTGTAATAGTGGACGCTTGGTTTGATTTCTCTTAGGTTCGTGTGCAAACAAAAAATTTCGTCACCGCGAAGATATCGTGGTCTGCGATGAAAATTGAATTGTACAGTAATAAAAAATTACTTTCGTAAAACAAGGTTGATTACAACCCGAAAAAAGTTACTACATATTCAGTATGAACAACAATTAAGGAATTCCTTGAATCAATGAACCCTAATAACAAACTGAACGTTTAATTGGAATATTCTAGACCTATTTTAAAAACTCAATGAACGAAGTTAAATGTAAGCCTACGGCCAGGCAAGAGGCCGTCGAGGCCTCCTCATGGTACTATCCTAGATAGACCGCCGTAGCCTATCGTAGTTTTGAAATCATCGCACGAGTTTTACCTGTCTGCACTGACCAAAAAGTCAGGGACTGTATTCTCTGTCGAATGCTTTTAAGAAATGGTTATTTATTTTACGAATGTCTATCAAAATAGCATTGCAAACAAGTTCTTCTAACACAATACAATTTCAAATTACAATATTATTCATCATATCCGTACTGACGTACTGCTGATGTGCACACTGTGCAGGAGCACAAATTGTCATACGCACAGCTAAAGGTAAATACGCACACAGTATACTCATCCTATCACTATAGCAACCAGTAACTGCTACAACAGTTGGTTATAAAAACTAATATTAAAAAAGACAGCGATTGACTTATAAAGCAATTAGTAGAGCATGCATCGTACACTAGCGGAAAATTATTATTCTTAGGTTAGATTTAATGCATTCAGAAATTTTTTCAAGCATTAAATCAAACCTTCGTATAATTTTCATATAGTGTATTACTATGCGGAGCTCTACTAATTGTTTAATAGGTACGGCCGGAAACAGATAATAACATATAATATAAATCAAGATAGCCGTAACACTGTTAAGTTATATATAAATCATCAAAGAAAGGTAAATACAGTGTTCGAACAAATGACATAAATACATCGTGTAGCATAGCGACCTTATTTGAATAATAGGCCTATTGTATGTATTATTTCATGTTCAAGCTTTGCTAGTTTATTTTATTTTTTATTTTTATTTTATTTATTTCCAGGCAAGACAATACAGTACAATAGATAGGTGAAACAAATGACAAAAACAAAAAGCCTGAGGATTACCTAAAAGCGAACTTAATCACTATCTAAAGGCTCTCCAAAACA